TAATTACAAAGACCATTACATGGATTAGGTGCACCTTAGTCTCTAGACTGACATCGTTGTTTCTCAGTACTCTGGAGAGATCCCTGACAGCATATTTTCCCAGTGCAATTTGTCTTTTGATTTCCTAACTGCTGGTGCCAAGAGTGTTGATTGTGGAGGCAAGCAAATAGTAATTGTTAACAACCTCAACCTCTTCTCCATCTATCATGGCACTGCCAATTAATTGGTCCAGTCGTGAGAATCTCTGTTTTCTTGATATTCAACCTTTACATAGTCAATAAAACACAAGTAAACATCTTTGCATAGTCAATATAACACAAGTAAACATCTTTCTGATCTTTACTTTCAGTTAAGATCAATCGGACATTAAAAATGATATTGCTTCCATGGCCTCTTCTGAATCCAATTAGAATTTCTGGCTTTTTTCTTTCAATGTATGATTCTCACTAGTATGTGATATTAATGATGTTATTCTATAATTCCTGAGTTATTTCAGGTAACTTCTTTTAGAATAGGAACACATAGGGATCTCTTCCAGTCAATTAACCAGGTAGCTGTCTTCCAAATTTCTTGGTATAAACTAGGGAGAAATAGGGCTGGGTTTGGAGCTATTGTGCATAGGGTCACTATGAGTTGCAGGTGACTCAATGACATATAACAAAAACATATTCCTGGCAGTGGAATAGCTGGGTCATATAGAATGTCTATGTTCAGCTTTTTGAGGAAATGCCAAACTGCCTTCCAGAGTGGTTGTGCCATTTTACCATTCCATGAATGGTGTATGAGTTATCATCTCTCCACAACATCTCCAACATTTATTGCTTGCTGCCCTGTTAAACACTGTCACTGAGATGATATCTTATTGTGGTTTTGATTTGCATCTCTCTTATTGTCAGTGCGTTTAGAGAGCAGAAAATGGGCCATGGGGGCACAGGGCTATGAAAGGGCCAGAGAAAGTGAGAATAGCATAACTCCTCAGTGCCTCAAAGCAGAAAGCAGATAAAGAGCCTGTAGCCCAGGCTTATGTTGAGTCTAGAGCCACACCAACGGCAAAAGGTTCATTTATTCATTGTTGACTCATTGACTCACAGTTGTGGTTCTGAGAAAGAGGTTTATTAGGGAAATAAGTTGGAGAGTGGGAAAGGTAAAGAATATTACCCAATACAAGTTCCAATTTTAGCCTAAGTCCCAAGGAACAATGCCTCCATTAGTCCAGGCTCTGGCTTCCCTTCAGTAGTCAAATAAAAATCATCCAGCAAAGTTTGCCTCAGAGCAGTTGTAACTCAACATCTCCTTTGAACATCTGGCAAGAATAGCAAAATCCTTTAACTGTGGCCAGCACTAATGAAAGGTGCCTCAGGTCACATGTTGCCACAGCTTGTCCACAGCAATGCCAGAGTCTTTCCACACTGATCATCAGACTCTTGCACCAAAGTCTCACTATCAACGGGGTCTTGCTGGACCTCAAGTCTTGCCCCCTCAAGTCTTGCTTGCTTCAAGTCTTGCAGCTTAGTGTGGAAAACAC